AACTTAGTGAGGCCCTAAGCAACTCAGTGGGACCATGTGTCTAAATAAAAAAATTCAAAAAAGGACTGAGGATGTGGCTCAGTGGCTGTGTCCCTGGGTTCAATCCCATGCACCAATAAATAAATAAACAAATAAATAGATTTTTACCAAAATGTGTATTTATGTAATATGTTTATTTTTATTTCTTTTAAAATATGCAATTAATTTCTAAGTATTGCTTTAGCTGTATCCCACACATTTTGATGTTGAATTTTAATTTTCATTTAGTTGAAAATATTTTAAAATTTTCTGTGGATCCATGGATTATTTAGAAGTGTATTAGTTTGGAGATTTTCCAGGTATCTTTCTGTTATTGGTTTCTTGTTTAATTCCCTTAATATCTGAAGACATTTCATAATTTCAATTCTTTTAAATTTGATAAAAAGTAGCAGGGCTGGGCTGGGGTTGTGGCTCAGCAGTAGAGAACTTGCCTGGCATGTATGAAACACTAGATTCAATCTCAGCACCATAAAAATAAAATAAAGGTCCATCAACAACTAAAAGAAAAAAAAAAAAGTAGCAAGGTGTGTTGCTGCAAGTCTGAAATCCCAGCAGCTCAGGAGGTTGAGACAGAAGGAAGGAAAATTCAAGACCAGCCAGGGCAATTCTGCAGGTCCCTAAGCAATATAGCAAGGTCCAGTCTTGAAATGAAAAATGAATAGGGCTGGGAGGCTCGAACAAAGGTGCATGCCTGTAATCCCAGCAGCTCAGGAGGCTGAGGCTGGAGGATGACAAGTTCAAAGCCAGCCTCAGCAAAAGTGAGGTGTTAAGAAACTCAGTGAGACCCTGTCTCTAATAAATACAAAATGGGGCTGGGGACGTCGTGGCTCAGTGGTCGAGTGCCCCTGAGTTCAATCCCCAGTACTAATTAACTAACTAACTAAYWAATAGGGCTGGGGATGTGGCTCAGTGGTAAAGCRTTTGTGTGTGCAATCCCCAGTACCAAAACAACAACAAGACAAACAAATAAATGGCAAAAGATAAAACAATACTACAAATATTTAAATAACCAGAAACAGGAAAGTACAAGCAGAGAAACAAAAGATGGAAAAAGTAAAAAATAAATAATAGAACGTCAGACTATATTAACCCATTCAGAACTTACATCAAATGATTTGTGCACAGTAATTAAGAGAGATTGCCAGAATTAGTTTTTTTTTKGGGGGGTAGGGGGTACTGGGGATCGAACCCAGGGGTGCTCTATCATTGAGCCACATCCCCAGACCTTTGTTAAAAAATTTGAGACATCGCTACGTTGCAAGGGCTGGCTTTGAACCTGGAGATCTTCCTGCCTTAGCCTCCAAACACACTGGGATTACAGGTGTGGTCACCACACCCAGCATTTCTCTTGAGTTCTTTAATGTATGATTGTTAATAAAAAAAAAAATTATAGCTGGCATGATGGTGCATGCTCCTGTAATCCCAGCAGTTTGGGAGGCTGAGACAGGAGAATCTCAAGTTCAAAGCCAGCCCCGGCAACGGTGAGGCTCTAAGCAACTCAGTAAGACCCTGCCTCTAAATAAAATACAAAATAGGGCTGGGGATGGAGCTCAATGGTCAAGTGCCCCTGAATTCAATCCCCAGTACCAAAAACAAACAAAAACCAAACAACAACAACAACCAAAAAAAAAAAAAAACAATTATAGCCAGAACAGTGGGACACACTTGTAATCCCAGCGGCTTGGGAAACTAAGGCAGGAGGATTGCAAATCCAAGGTCAGTCTCAGCAATTTAGCAAGACCCTGTCTCAAAAAAATAAAAAGAGGGCTGGGGCTCAGTGGTAAAGCACCTGGGATCAATCCCTGGTCCTCCTTCCGCTCCACAAATCTTGTCTTCGAACTGAGGACTTTTTTTTTTCACTTGTGTTGGTAAAAATTAACGAGCACACCCCTCCGTGTACCTGCATACGTCCCTATGCACTGGTTACTTTACCATTAGAATAAAACTGGACTGAGGGAGACAGCTAGGCGGAGAGTTTGGTCACCCTCCTCGGCGCTGAGCAAGGCAGGTGTCCTTTGCTGAAGGACCAGGGGGCCGGAGCAAGCTTCCCCCTGGTCCACTGGGCCTGCATCACGGGTCTCCCTCCACTCCCCACGCACATCTGCCCCAAACATGTGTCCAGAACAGGGCGCTGTTGGTAGGGCACGCGGTGCTGTTTGCCACCTCCCCAGGACTCTCCCTCTCCCCATGTCCTGTCTTGGGATGGACATGACCATGGAGACGCCCAGAGGAGCTTCTGCCCTCTCCACACCCCGCAGATCAGCGGACCCCTTCACCCTCCCTTCTTCTGGAGCGCGGTGTGTRTCTGCAGGTACTGTCACATTTTCTTTGATGTAAGGAAATAAAGTGTCCTTTGACATTGAACAGGGTCACAGCAGCTCTGAAAGCATGTTCCTTTCCCTACCAGGGGTCACCAGAGAGATCACCTGTGGGTGGGGAGGTCCAGGCTTGGAGAGGCTCCCTGTGGAGTGAGATGGACAAGACAGCTGGCGGCAGACTGGGCCCTGCTGGCTGCCTGGGCAGAAGGTGGGGACTGGCTGCTGCTTCTTTCTTCCCCCTCCTCCCTTTTTCTTTTCTATTTTTTTTTTTGGTACCAGGAACTAAACCCAGGGGCATTCAACCCCTGAGTCACATCCCCAGCCCTTTTTATATTTTATTTAGAGACGGGGTCTCACTGAGTTGCTTAAAAGCTATATTGCTTAAAGCTTTGCTAATTTGCTGAGGCTGGCCTCTAACTTGTGATCCTCCTGCCTTAGCCTTCCAAATTGCTGAGATTACAGGCATGTGCCATCACACCCTGCAATTTTCCAGCTCTTCATGTAAGGCTSGAATGGTTCTCTTGAGCTACTGGTGTTCCTGACCCATGGGGTAGGAAGGACCAAGTGTAAGGCCTTTTGAGTTTCTTCTCAGGATGGCAAATAAAAAGCAATTATGCTGGGTTCGGTGGTGCAGACTTATAATCCCAGCAATTTGGAAGGACTCTAAATTCAAGGCCAGTCTCAAAATAAAATAATAATAATAATAAATAATAATGGGTTAGTTAAGCACCTGAATTCAATCCCCAGGACTATTAAAAAAAAAAAACAAAAAAAACAGCAGTTCTTATCTTTGGGAGAAGGTGATTGACAAGGGCCAACAGAGATTTGAAACATGCAGGAGTGGCAAGTGTCTTGTCCTTTCTGCATTTAGCTGCTGTTTGGCAAGGTCATGCCTCTTGGAGAAGACAGGATCGTGACCTTGATTTGGTAGTGACTCCAATTACAGCTACTTTTCCTGAGGTAGGACCTTCCACTAAACAGAGGGTAGTGAAAGGCGGAGTGTGCAGCAGGCTGCAGTCTGGCCAACAGACGGCGCCTTTTCTCTCTCAGCCACACTCCACGGGGACYGAGAGGCAGAGCTGGGAGTGGGGCCTCCATGGCACCTAATAACCCACTTGCAGAAATTTGCTTCCCACTTCCAGAAGCTTAGAACGTGAAAGGCCTGAGCAGAAAGAAAACTTAAACTAAAAATCTCTGGGCATCCCAATACACCATCAGAAGTGAAGAGTGCACGCACACCTGTGATCCCAGCTGCTTGGGAGGCAGAGGCAGAAGGATCGCAAGTTTGAGACCAGTCTGGGCAATTTATCGAGGCCCTAAGCAACACAGCGAGAGCCCATCTCGAAAATAAAAATAAAAAGGGCCAGGGATGTGGCTCATTGGTAAAGCATCCCTAGGTTCAATCCCTGGTACCAAAGGGGGGGAAAAATGTGAGGACAGCCCACAGAGTGCAAGAACGTATTTACATATTTGTAAATCATCTATTTGATGACAGATTGTGTCTAGAATCAAGAACTCTCCCAACTGAAAGTTAAAAACAAACCAATTTTAAAAAATAGGTGAAGTGTGTGTGTGTGTGTGTGTGTGTGTGTGTGTGTGTGTGAATGATGCTGGGGATGGAACCCAGGGCCCCACCTGGGCCAGAAAAGAGAGCCACACTCCTAAGTTCTGGACAGACATACACCCTGAGCACAGTGGTCACTGTTATCTTAATCCACCAAGACCAGGGGCCATGGGTTATGCCATACAAGGTCTCTCAAGAGACCAGTCTTTCCCTAACCCCCTGACCCACGCAGGTAGCCACTTCYAGCAGGGCAGGGCATCACCTGGGCTTACCCAGCACCCGCTTCTTCCCTTGATCCTTTTCTTTTGCAGGCTGGGGATGGACCAGGGCCTCACTCATGGTACCGGGCTGTACCCTGATCCCGGGTCCCTGTTTTGCCTCCCCGTCTTTGACACCTGCAGACAGTCCTCTAGAGATTCCTGAACCCACCCCCATCCCCACCCCCACCCTGTAGTCCTCCCACCCTGGCTGGGACACTGCCACTGCCCCTGCTGGGGGGGGGCACCTCCGCCCCCTGCCTGCCCCCCCGCCCCCTGCCTGCCCCCCCCCCCAGCCTTCCTCTCCCAGGGGCCCCCTCACTCCTCTCAGAGCGGCTCTGCCCCTGAGTCGCCCATGGGCCGAGCGACCATTTTCCAGGTTCAAAGTGCACTGAGAGCGCTTCACAGTTTCAACACTTCCTAGATGCTCAACTGAGGCAAANCACTGCCACTGCCCCTGCTGGGGGGGGGCACCTCCGCCCCCTGCCTGCCCCCCCCCAGCCTTCCTCTCCCAGGGGCCCCCTCACTCCTCTCAGAGCGGCTCTGCCCCTGGCCCCAGCACACGGCAAGGAGGCCCCGGTGGGGAGCACAGATTTTATTGTTCGAGTCTGGGTTTCGTTGCTTCCACRTCCTGGTTCCCCGGGGAGGCGAGCATCCGCCTCCCTCAGTCGCCCATGGGCCGAGCGACCATTTTCCAGGTTCAAAGTGCACTGAGAGCGCTTCACAGTTTYAACACTTCCTAGATGCTCAACTGAGGCAAAGTGACAAAATGGCCCTCCCACCCCGCCCGCCAAAAAAATAAACCCCAAGCCCCCAGCAGCTGCAGCCGTATGAAAAAATAATACAAACTCTTCTTAAAAAATAGATTACACAGAAAGAACCCAGAGGACAGAGGGGCACGAGGAGGGGCAGGGACTCCTCCAGCTACTGGCAGGGAGCACGGGAGGGGGCGCTGAGATGATCCTGGGGGCGGGGTTGCTGGTGGACTCCTGCCTCTCGATCGCCACTCCTGCCCAGGGCCAGCTCCCCCCATCAGCCCTGACCCAGGCACCATAGTGCCCTCTCCCTCAAGGGACCCCTCTTCACCCTGAGGCCTGGTACCTGCTTCTCACTAAAGTGGCTTCGATAAAGAAAGGGAAGAGACCCAAACCAAGAGCAAGGCCTGCTGCTGCCTGGCCATGGGCGGGCCCTGGGTCAGGCCTCGCTCTGTTTGGGGGTCTGGACAATTATCAACGCCTGCCGCTACCTAGACACCCCCGGGGGATAACGGGCCCCAGACTCCCATCTGGCTCCTGGGAACGTGGTCTCCCCCTTGACCCATTCCCTCCTCCTTGCCTGGCCATTATGGGGCATCTTCAGAAGCTGCCCCCAGCCCAGCCTGGCTCAGGAGCTGCGGGCAGATGCAGGGTGCGGATGTCTTGGGCGGTGYGTGGGGTGGGCACAGCCCTCCTGGGCCCCCCAGCTCATGCAGGAGTGTGTGGGGGCGGCCCCACCAAGACAAGAGGTAAGGCAGGGTGGTGTGACCGCGTGTGGGCAACTGGGCAGCACTGGGGCAGTCCGCGGGGGAGAAGGCAAGTCAGGGCCTGGCTCTGGGGAGGGGTCTGGGCACCCGCGGCCCTGGCCAGGGCTCCATGCCTTGGCCACCTCCTGCAGAGGAACCTGGTGAGGGCAGATTCTCTGGAGGTGGGGCGGGGCAGCTGGGGGGGCAGGGCTCAGTCGGGGACCTCAGGGTGGGCGGGCAGTCCGCTCTCACCGCGCCGGTAGGTCTCCCAGAAGCCCCTATCCAGCTGTTCCAGCTGTGGGCCCAAGGGCAGGTGGCCAGCCAGGTGCATGCGGAGGGTCTCCAGCCAATGTTCCAGCTTTACGAAGCAGGGCCTGGGGTGACAGGTGGGTGGGTGGCGGGTCTGGCTCTCCTGGGGATCAGCCTCACCTGCAAGGATGCCCCAGGCCAAGGCCCCCAACTCACCTCTTCTCAGGGTCCAAATCGCAGCAGCGCACAGTAATAGGGAAGAAGCTTGGGGGGCAGTTTGGGGGGCAGTAGCGGTCCAAGAAGCCACGCACGTTGAGGCCAAAGTCCATGGTGCGGGGCAGGTAGTCGGGGTCTGCGTTCACCCGCCCGATGATCTGTCCAGCACAAGGCCCCTCAGTTAATTTGGGGCCCCTTAGCCTGGATGGATGTCATCCAGGGGTCTGCAGGCAGGTCACTCAGGCCAAGGCCCGGACTGAACACTGAGCCCATGGGTCAGGCCATCCCCCTGCTCTGGGCAGCCCTGTGCTCAGGAGGCTGCCAGCCTGCAGCCCAGGAGGGTGGGATGGGGAGGAGCCACCAGGTCTCAGTGCCGCCACTGCCCGCTGCTGGACCTACCTCACACAGGACGATTCCGAAGGAAAACACGTCCACCTTCTCATCATAGCTGCGGCCTGAACAGAGACACTGAGTGAGAGCAGGGCCAGGGGCAGCAGCCACTTGGGCCACAGGCCAATGCTGACAGCCTGCGTGGCACGGGGCTTAGATCCTATGTCCCAGCCCCCCACGACCGAGTGACCCTCCTGCGCATYGAGAGGTGAGGATGAGGGCCCGGGATACCACGTTCCAGGCTCTGCTGGGTCACCTGACCTGCTGCAGGACTCTGGGCAAAGCAGACTCCTGAGGCCCCAGAGGCTACTTTGTTGGGAAAAGGGTCTTGGGCTGGGCTGTCACTCAGTGCTGGACAAAGTGTTTTGTTTTTTTTTAATACAATTTTTTTTTAGGGCTGGGGATGTGGCTCAGAGGTAGCATGCTCGTTTGGCATGCGTGAGGCAGCAGGTTCGATCCTCAGCACCCATAAAAGTAAAATAAAGATATTGTGTCCACCTAAAACTAAAAAATGAATATTTTAAAAAATATTTTTTTAGTTGTCAATGGATTATTTATTTATTTATATGCAGTGTTGAGGCTCGAACCCAGGCCCTCACATGTGCCAAGCAAGSACTCTGCCTCTGAGCCACCGCCCAACCCAATGGGCCATGTGGTCAGCACACAAGGCCCTGTGTTCTCTGCGGATGTCGTGAAAGTCAGTGGCAGGGGAAGGGCAGGTAAGCCTGGATCATCTATGGGGTCCTAAGTGCCATCACAAGTGCCTTTAAGAGAGACAGGACACAGAACACTTGCAGAGGAGGTGGTGACCATCGGAAGCAGAACAGCAGGGGGAGAAGGTGAGGCCAGGATGCTCCCTAGAGGGGCCTGTGGTGCCAGGTCTGGGACTCGCCTCCACTGTGTGGATAGTATTTTCCCTGGTAGGGTGGAAACCACTGACCACCCGCCAGCCCTTTTTATTCAATTCTGAAACAGGGTCTCACTAAATCACACAGACTGGCCTCAAGTGTGACACCCTCCTGTCTCTGCCCCTTGACTTGCTGGGACCACAAGTGGGCGCCACCATGCCTGACCAACTGTGTTAAGTCACCAAGTCTGTAATACTTTTATTATGGTGACCTCATGAAATGGACATAGACTTGCTGAGCCTCAGTTTCCTTGTTTGTCAAATGGGAATATCATCGGCCACTTGTCAAAACCTTCAGGGCAGCTACTCAGTGAACGCCAACCAGTTGGCAGTGGTTTACAAACCGYGTGGAATCCTCACTCTGCCCCTGAAGACAAGGGCTGTTTAGACTAGCTGTCACCTGGGGGTGACACTAACTGCATCCATCTGGTCAGTGCTGGTGCAGGCTGACCCTGGGTCTGCCTGTCCTGAACCTGTGTGTCACCTGTTTGGGGAAGGGCCTTATGACCTGGACATACCCAGGAGGGACCTTGTCGTCTGGGCATACACAGGACCACGTGGCAGGAACAGCAGAGCTGGGGAGTGAGGGGGCCAGCACCCTGGGCTGATGCACAGCTGCAGAAGATGGCCCCGTCTCAATCCCTGGGGCTCTGCGGGTGGCATCAGGGTCCCCCGTTTGTTTGTTTGTTTGTTTTTTGTAGTGCCAGGGATGGAGCAGAGCCTGTGCGACCTAGGCAAACGCTCTACCACTGAGACTGTCCCCAGCCCCGGGATTAGGGTCGAGATGGAGTGATGATCCTGGATTAGCGGGTGGCTCAGAGTAGTCACCAGGGTCCTCATCAGAGGGAGGGGGAGGGTTGGAGTCAGGGACGGGGAGGTGAACACAAGAGGCTGCTGGCCCGAGGTGGAGGCAGGGCCCTGAGCTGAGGACAGAAACGATAGGCAACAGGGCCTCTGGCAGAGCTCACAGACCAGCTCTGCTGGTCCAGAGAGGCCCTGGCTGGACTTCTGACCTGCGGGCTGCTGGGTGATGTGTTACCTGAGCTACCAAGAGTGGCAGCAACAGGACACGCACCCAGGACCCAGGAGGTGGCATGACGGGCGGGCCACTCACCGTTGATCATCTCGGGTGCCATCCAGTAGGGGTTGCCCACCACAGTGTAGCGCTTCTTGCGGTCGGGCTTCTTGAGGCTCCGCAGGTCCTCAGGCTGGGTCTTCTCGTCCACCATGAGCCGCGCCAGCCCGAAGTCGGCCACCACCACATTGTTGTTCTGGGGAGACAAGCAGGGTCACCAGTGCTGGACACCTTCTGGCCCTGCTGGCCCAGCCGGSGCCTCTCTGAAGCCTGCAGAGGGAGCCTGGGTTTGGGTGCGGCTTCCTGAATTCTGAGTGAGCATCTGCTGCCTTAAGCCGTCCCTCTGGGGCCCTGTGTGTCAGCCTGGGAAGCAAATATGCCTCCTCCTGGACGCCCTCACTCCCTCTCTGTCCCCTGACTACCAGCCTGTGGACCCTGGGCACCCTGCCTCTACCCCCACTTATAAGCACCCTCCTCCTCAGGGAAGCTGCTGACCTCCCAGCCCCCACCCGTGTGGCCTGCTGCAGCCTGTGGCCACCCTGCTGACCTCCCAGCCCCCACACATGCGGCCTGCTGCAACCTGTGGCCACCCTGCTGACCTCCCAGCCCCCACCCGTGTGGCCTGCTGCAGCCTGTGGCCACCCTGCTGACCTCCCAGCCCCCCTCTGCTGCAGCCTGTGGCCACCCTGCTGTGGGCTGCACTTGGTGATCACCTGTCCTGGTCACTAACAGCTCAGGAGGTCAAGATCTCCTCCTCTGTTACTAGACCCTCCCAAGAAGCCATTATGCTGACTACTGAGCCAGGCTGCCCGCCTCCTGCCCTTGGGCTGCTTCCCCACCTCCCACTTCAAAGGGTAGCACAGGTGACCCAAGGACCTCTGCTGAGGGAAAGCCCTGAGGCTGGAGCCCAGAGTGTGTCCCTACAAGCCCAGCCACTGGCTGCAGCTGCTCACCTCACGGACCAGGCAGTTGTGAGAGTTGAGGTCTCGGTGGATGATGTTCATGGAGTGGAGGTAGGCCTGGGGGACACAGGTGTCAGGAGGGGCGTGCAGGGCCCCGGGCTCCCACCCCACCCAAATYGGGCCATCCAGGAGTCTTCCCACTCTGTTTGGTCTGCTTTGCCCCCTTCCAAAGCCTCCCCGTGGGGCCTGTTTCCAGATTCCTCAGGGTCAGTTTCCAGCATGGAGGTCACCAGCCACTTACCATCCCCGACGCGATGTCCTTGGCAAAGCTCACCCTCTGAGTCCATGGGTACTGGCTGTCCTGGGGATCGGGGAGAACAGCTGGGATGTGAGAGTCATGGGGGCCAGTGTCCTGGAGACTGATGGCCCCATCTCTCCTGCACCCACAACTGTCTCTTTCGAAAGGGGACATTTCCTTTACAGAAGTGACTTCAAACCCTCGGGGGGGCTGCTCCTCTGAGGAGGAAGACCTCGAGCCCCCTCCCCCAGCATCAGCAGTGGGCTGACCTCGGCCCCTGGCTGCTGGTTCTGGCAAGTCCTTAAGATGACATGGGGGCTGCRCAGAAGCCGCATGGGTCCCCCCCACCCAGGTCCCACCATCCTAGATGACTCCTAACACTAATCACCCCTAAATGCCACACGAGGAGTTGTTCTACACAGTAAACCCAATCCTTCCAAGTTTTAAAGAATTTGAACCTGTTTTGTAGATGGAGCTAGAAGGGTCTGTGATGGTCACCCTCGATCAGCACTGAGCCACTCTGGGAGACCAGGGCTTGGCCCTGGCCACAGCAGGGCCCAGATMTGGACTGTCCCCCGTAGGCCCACAGGTGAAAGGCCTGGCACTGGGTGGTGGTGGAACTTCAGAGAGGCTGGGCCTCGTGACAGGTCCTTAGGTCACTGAGCCATGCCCTGTGGGCCCTCGGCCTCTGCCTCTTTCTCTTTTGGTTTCTGGCCACGAGGCAAGTGGCTTTGCTCTACCAAGAGCTCCCACCAAGATGTGCCACCTTGCCACCACCCAAAGCAGTGGGGACAGCCAGTCTTGAAGTGGTAGCTCCAAATCTGCAAAGCCCAGATAACCCTTTTCTCCTTTATAAAGTGATGATCTCAGGGACTTTGTTACATTCATGGAAAAATGGCTAATCCAGGTCTTGGATCACACACACAGACCACTCACCCCCGGCCATCCCCTAGGAGGGCTCCAGAGGAAGTGTTGGAGTACCTGGGTGCGTCAGCGTGAGCGGCGAGGCTGGGAAACCTCCCTGGTATCTCTAAAGCCCACCTGACTACAGCACATCCCGGGGGACTCCCACATAGCAGGCTCCTGGGGCCACACTTTGGGAAACGCCAGGTAAACTGAGGTAATGAGACGGCAGAAGCTGGAGAAGGGACAAGATCTCGTGGTCTCGGGGTACTGCTGAAAGGGCCTAGAAGGCAGGACGGGTCACCGGGGTGCCGGCCAACAAGAAACCAAGAGTGCCAGATGGCTTCCCTCCAGTGCTTCATTTCATTTTTTGGTCCCAGGGATTGAACCCAGGGGCACTTAACCATTGAGCCACCTCCCGGCCCTCTTTATATTTTATTTAGAGACAGGGTCTCACGGAGTTGCTTAGGGCCTCTCTAGGTTGCTGAGGCTGGYTCTGAACCCTTCATCCTCCTCCTTGGCCTCCCAAGTTGCAGGGATCACAGGCTTTGCCACTGCACCCGGCCCAACACCTTGTTTCTGAAGATGAATTGGAAACTTTATCCGAATCCTTAAAGAAAGTTCTGAATTGTGCGAAATGGTTAASTGATGAGAAGCAGAGCAAAGGCCCCAGGACTGGTAATGGAGGCTGCTGCTCCCCGGGTGGCTCCTGAGGCCTGCRGCCAGCTGTTCCAGGACAGCCTGGGTGACCCCTGGGGAAGGTGCCACCCTCCCGGGGCTCCAGCTTTAGTTGGAACTGGTTGCTCCCTTGCTTGGTTTGGAATCAGGGCTTAAAGGGTCTTGAGGCCCCACAGCCATCACCCCCTGAACAGATGAGGCTGAGGCCCAGAGGGAGCTGCCTTGGCCACAGGAGGGGTGGCAGGTGGGGCTCTGCCCGGCACCGTATCCCCAAACACACACACACACACACACACACACACACACACACACACACACACACGTTTTTTTTCGGTACTGAAGACTGAACCAAACCCAGGGGAGCCTCACCACTGGGCTACATTCCTATCCCATTTTGACTTTGAGACAGGGCCTTGCTAAGTTGCTGAGGCTGGCCTTGAACTCAAGATCCTCCTGCCTCAGCCTCCAGAGCTGTGGCAGTTCCAGGCCACCACACTGTTACTCACCATGCTCTTGATGATGCCCCGCAGGGTGCCRCCCTTGATATACTCGGTGATGAAGTTCAGCCTCTTGTCCTTGTAYAGCACCCCGATGAACTTGAGCACGTTGGGGTGCTCTAGGCATCTCATGACCTTCACCTGCAGGGTACAAACAGGCTGCTCCTTCCCCTCCTGCCCCCAACACCCCGAGGCCCTGGCCCTGGCTGCCCACTGTCTGCTGGGGCTGCTCCCCCAAGAGGCCGCCTGCCCTGGGAGGACGCATCTCCCTTCTCAACGTGTGGACTGAGCCCTGTCCACAGGGAACCCTCTGCTGCCCCATCTGGGTGGTGAAGGGGCGGGGACCCGAAGTCTGGCCCTGAGGCACGTGATAGCCCCCCAGAGACCTCCTTGAGAAACGTCCTCTGGGTCTCCTCGTCGAACCGAATCAGCTCCTTCATCACCATCACCTCACCCGTCTCCCGGTGCGTCACCTGTGGGGACACCAGACAGGACTGCAGTGCCCGCCTTGAAGGAGGCGCCACAGCCACCCAGGAGTGCCAGGCAGATGCACAGATGGCGTCACATTCTTTGCAGAGCCCAGGGGATGCTCCCAGTCTCCCAAGGGTGTCCTAGCAGGGCCCAAGGCTCCTGGCTGGCAGGAAAGGAGGGCACTGAGCCTGGGTGAGGAGGTCAGTGGTAGCTTGGTCAGGAACTCCTGCCTGGCCAGGGGACGGGGACAGGGCAGGTCCTGAGTAGCCTAGCCTACATCTTTTGTATAATCCTGACCCTTCCAGTCAGGTCATAGCCAGGTGACACCAGAACCAGGCTCAGGGAGACTGTAAAGGGGTCCCTGAGGTCATGATGGGGTGGCACCAAGCTCAGCATGGAGACTCAGGAGGGGACTTAGATCAGTCTGGGCTGGCCTGCCCTCCTACCCCTACCTGGGTCTACCTTAGCAGGTCCCTGCCCCTCCCCAGCCCAAAGAGGCCGAGGCCAAGGAGAGAGCCCTGGCCTGAGAGCCTAGAGGCCAGACGTGGTGGCCTCCCCGAGGCACTGGTGGGAAACGAGAGGGCTGTCCCCTCCCCCCGTACCTTGATGGCCTGGCCAAAGCAGCCCTTGCCCAGCACCTCCCCATGGATGAGGTCTGATGGCCGGAAGATGCGATGTGGCCGGCAGACCACCCGGAGGGATTCGGAGCGACCTAGGTCCTTGCGCTGGGAGGCTGGCGAGGCCAGCGAGCCGGCACCTGGGGACGTGTCGATGCTGCAGCTTCTCCTGTGGAGGCACACGGTGCCCAGTGTCACAGGAAGGGCCCTGGCTGGGGCCCTGCCCCTGCCCGCTAGGCCCCATCCTGGCCGGGTCGAGTGGTGCTCCATGCTACGGGTGGCACAGCTCGGCCTTCACAGGGSAGTACCCAGCCCCCACTCCTGTTCTCCTGTCTGAGGTCCACTGTCTCACAGGTGCCTTAGATGAATGTCTATCCTTGGCCTTGACACCTGTCTAGGGTGCCCATGACCCTGGAACAAGCAGCCCACAGGTGGCCCAGGCTCTGGAGGGTGCAGGTGACAGGGGAGTGTGTGCCTTCAGCAGCGTGACCTCGTAGGGCAAGGCTGCCCGCGGTGGCCTCCCTGAAGGTCTCCGTCAGCGTCCTGAGGAGTGAGCGGGGGGAGGCCAGGCTGCCTCCTCCCACCTGCCCAGGTCGAGATACCGACCCTTGGCACCTGCTGCCTGGACCACTCAAGGGCCCACCAGTTGTCCCTGGTCTCGCGTGTCCCCACCCCAGTCCCTCCCGCGTGGTGGGCCAAAGTGGTCTTCGTGAAACACATCACACTGCTGCCACATCCTTCAGTGGGAGCCCTACGACGTAGGGACAAGGTCCAAAGACCCCGCCATGCCTCACACCACTGGAGCCCACCACCCAGTCACCCCTCGAGCCGGGAAGCAGCACCTGCTCCCTTCTCCTCGTCCCCACACCCCCAGGCTGAGCTGACTTCTCCGTCAGACGGAGCCAGTGGACGCAGGGACCAGGTCCCAGTGTCCCAAGGCCTGGTGCCAGCGCCAGTACCCGCCCAAGCCAACCAGGCTGACTTACAGGACAGGTTTCTGCCGGGCAGAGCTGCCCACCTCTCCGCTGGGCACGTGCATCGGGGAGCCCAGGGGGCTGGGCTCGGGCCCTGGCCCATGGCCTAGCGGGTCGTGGGGGTCATGCTCAAGGGTCAGCTGCAGCAGGCGACTGGTTTCCTGTATCAGCAGGTCGATCTGGGGAGGGGACGTGGACAGCTGAGGCCGCTGCGGTGGCGGTGGAGGGGCTTGGGCCCAAGGCTCTGCCCCCACCCCGCCCTGGTCTCAGGACCTACCTCATCCAGGGGCACGTTCCGGATGGGTGTGCCRTTGATCTCCAGGATCCTGTCTCCCACGTGGATGGAATTCTTCACATCTGGGCTCATGCAGCCTGGGTCCACTCTGCGACACAGCAATGGCCCCCATCAGTTCCCACCTGCCCCTGGAACCCCAGCAGGAAATCATGGCCAGGGAGACCATCAGAGGTTGGGGGCAAAAGGTTCTATCTCGTGGACAGGAAGGCGGCAATTCTCCAGGATGTCACTGGCGGGTGGGATGAGTTCCGTAATGGATGATGGGTGTCTGCCACGGGTGTGGCAGTGGGGAAGGGTGGCCCACTGCAGATGTCTGCCCCCGTTTCAGGTGAATGACTCCTCCACCTCGGACAGAGCTTTCCTCCAGATGCCTGGCATGCCTGGGGCTGACAAGGGTCCCGAGCTGGGTCCTAGGGTCTGGATCCACTGGCTTCCTACCTAAAGTCCAGGACTCGTCCAGCAAGAGGAAGCTCCCTTTCTCCTGAATTGGCAGAGGGGCTAAGAGCCCACCCTGAGCCTTGGGTACAGGGTTATGGGCATGAGGCATGCAGAGGACCACCGGCTAACTCAGGGGACGGCCAACTTGCAGCATTTCCTCGCTTTTCTTAAATTCTGGTTTTAACTGGTTTTGGTCTTCATTTCATCTCATAAGTTTTTGAAAAATGTTCTGTTTCTCTCCTAGCCCTTTATGGATGTAAGGTACAGGGAACTGAATCCAGAGGTGCCCTACTACTGAGCTACATTTCCAAACCTTTTTATATTTTTATTTTTGAGGTAAGGTCTCGCTAAATTGCTGAGGCTGGCCTGGAACTTGTGATCCTCCTGCTTCAGCCTCTAGAGTCACTGGGATTATAGGTGTGCACCACCGAACCAGCGTCGCTTCGAATGAAGATAATCTTAAAATGTTCCTTAAAAAAATGCTCCTTAGGGCTGGAGATTGTAGCTCAGCACCTGACTTCAACCCCCAGTACTGTAAAATGCAAAACAACAAAGGAAACCAAAAATCCCACAGTGTGGCCAGCGCCTGGCCCTCGGGCAACTGGGAAGGTTCAGGAGGGAGCTCTCTGCAGAGAAGGCTGGGAAACTGGGGTTTCACCGCCCAGGGGGCAGGCAGGGAGGGCGGCCTCCRGGGCCCTCTCCTCAGAGGCCCAGGTCTGGGCCAGCTGTGTAGGGAGGAGACGCCACCTGCCCAGGATCACCCTCCCCAGCACCTCTCTCGCTGCTCCCCGTGCCCAGCTGCAGTGCCTGGTGGGTACGGGAGACTCCTGCACTGAACCAGGTGGATGCTGCTCTTAGTTCCCATGCCTGGGGGTGGGGATGTTCAAAATCCTGCTCAATGTGCCAGTGAAGGCTCTGAGGGCACCACGGTGTCCAGCTCCYGCACCATTTAGGTGGACCCTGCCCCAGTTTGGATGTGGTGCTGGAAGCGTGGTCCCCCATGTGATGGCACTGAGGTGGTGGCTCTTTAAGGGGTGGGGCCTAATGGAAGATAATCTGGTCACAGGCAGGACATCCTCAGCAGGGGCTGATGGCAGTCTCCAGGATGGGGTGAGCTCTAGCCAAAGCAGAGCAATGGCCCCTTCTGCCTGTGGCCATTTCCCTTTCTGCTGTCTGCCATGTTGTAATGTGGTCAGGGAGGCCCTCACCAGAGGTGGTGCCATGCTGTTTGGATTTTCCAGTCACCTGAACGGAGAGCTAACACCCTTTCTTTATAAAGTATCCTACCTCCTACGTTGTGTTATAGCTACACAAAACAATCAGACGGACCCCAAAGTCCAGACAGTGGTGACACCTGCTCAAAGTCACAAGGTATATCAGCACCTGGGCTGGATTTCTACTCTGTTCTTGCATCTCAGAGATCTTTCCTACATTTTCTTTAGGGATAATCTCTAATATCCCATCATGGCTGTTTTCTTTTACTGCTGCTGTAATTTGGATGTTGAATGTCCCCCACAGGCCGGTGTTAAATGCTAAATGCCTGGTCCCTAGCTTGACACTCTTGGGAGACAGTAGAAACTTCAGGAGATGGGGTCTACTTGGGGTATGCCCTTGAAGGAACTGTGGGACCCCAGGCTCTTCCTCTTTGGCTTCCTAGCCATGAGGTGAACAGGTGGTTCTGCCACATGGTTCCCACCACAGCCGTGGGGCATGCTCATCAGAGGCCCAAAATAATGTGTCCAACTGATCTTGGATCTAGACCTCCAACCACATGAGCCAAAATAACCTTTTTCTCTTTATAATCATCTCAAGTATTTCATTATAGTGACTGAAAACTGGCTATCACATACCTTTTATTTTATCGAGGGTTTTTTTTTTTTTTTTTTTTTTTTTGGTACTGGGGTCTGAACCCAGGGATGCTTTGCCACTGAGCCACACCTCCAGCTTTTTATTTTTATTTTGAGACAGGGTCTCACTAGGTTGCTTAGGGCCTTGCTAAACTGCAGAGGCTGGACTCAGCTCCCAAGTTGATGTGATCATAGGCATGTGCCACTGTACCTGGCCCTTGCCAGATACTTTCATAAAGTAGACAGAAAAACCCTAAGTTGATGGTTACTTGTGCTTAGTGCACAAAAAAAAMCCCAAAAAACAAAAAAAAACATCATTTCACCGATTCTGGGCTTCCATGGTCTCTGTCGAGAAATAAGCTGTTGATCTCACTGTCCTTTCTTTGAAAGTAATTGTTCTTTCTGGGTCCACTCAGGTCTTTTCTTCTGCCTCTGAAGTACAGTTTCACTCAAGGGGCTCAGGGGTGGATTTCTTCTGTTGTTTGGGATTTATTGGGCTCAAGTCTGTGGGCTGACTTTTTTAATCAGTTCTGGGAAGTTTTTAGCCACTATATCTTCAAATATTTCCTGTCTCCCACTCTCCCCTTCTGGACTTCAAGCTGATGGTCACGGGACACCCTCACCCCGTCCTGAGTATCTGCACCTCTCTCGCACGGTGCTCACCGTTTTATCTATTCTTTCCTCAGAGACTCTAAGCCCTACTGTGCTATTAAACCCTGGCCAGGAGACTTTCATCTGATAATCACACATCTCACTTCTAGGGATTCCATTTGGTTCTCTTCCAAGTATATGTGCTCCACGTACAGGATTCTGAGAACATATGGAGCCTGTTTGTTCTGCACCATCCCTGCTAACCCAGTATCTGGGGCTCTGGGGCTCTAGCTGCCAGCCTCCTGGTATCCCTGCTGCCTTCTGCACAGGAAGCCTTGCTTCCTCATGTGCTTGGTGGCTTCCCGCTGTGCATGCCAGGCAAGGGCTCCGCTCCTGAGCTCTGCCTGTCGCCCTTAGATTTCCCATCTAGGGGACTTCACTGAAGCCTGGAGATGGGTCCTCTGGAAGGAGACCTGATTGTCAGTTCCTGGGTACACTACCAATGAGGGTCATTTGAAGCTAAACTTTTACAATTTTGCCTTGACCTTTTTTGGGGAGTGTAGGGATGATGGGGATTAAATCCAGGATTTTTTTTTTTTTTTTTTTTTTGGTACCGGGGATTAAACCCAGGGGTGCTTAACCACTGAGCCACATCCCCAGCTCTTTTTATATTTTATTTAGATACAGTGTCTCACTAAGTTGCTTATGGCCTCACTAAGGCTGGCTTTGAACTTGTGGTCCTAGGCATGAGCCACCGCGCCTGGTGAAAATGTTTTCTGTTATGTTCCATCTGCAATGGTTTCCAGGCCATAACCACACCAGGTGCCTGCTGTGCCAGGCAGTCAGAGCCAGGCCACCAACATTCATGCAATCTCCAGACCAGTCTGCCATCCACCACATCAATGGCCAAGCTGTACCCCCTGCAGCCAGAGTAGCTAGCCACTCACCCCTGGACGCGGACAGTGTGGGAGTGCTCTGCACCACAGCCTGGAGGGCCGTGGGGTGGGTCGATGGAGACGGAGAGACCACGTTTGCCATGAGCAGAGGCTGGGATGGACACCAGGGTGACTGTGTGGGGCAGGTGGGAGCCAGGGGAGTCGGGCAGGATCTGCTCGATGACGGGGGTCACCACAGTCTGGTAGTAGCAGTGCCCACTGCAAAATATGCCCGCGGTGGGACCCAAAGAGGAGAAAGAAAAGAATGTCAATGTCCTCATTAGCATCACCACCCACCGTGGTCCCCGCCCTGGGCTCTGTGCTCTTCCCCTTCCAGCTGACTGGTGGGACCAGGAACCAGAAYTGAGCATGCCCAGCGCCCTGGCCCTCTCTGCGGCTTAGTCATCTGGGCTGTCTAGTCCCAGCAATGCTGCCAGATGTCCAGGACAAAGGCTGGGGTGCATCCTGTGCAGCAGGAGGTCTGGGGGGAGGCCTGCTGTTCTCTAATGCAGCTTTATCGCTGTTGCTGAGAAGGAATCTGTCTGGGCTTTGTCCCTGCTTCCTGGGAGAGACTCTCACTCCCTGAACAGGAGTGAATTGTTATCTATGGCCCTTCAGACTTTACGCTGGAGTTTATGCTAATGAGAAGACTCAGAGCTGGGACTGGYCACTGGAAGGGCCTACCAACTGGGGGACAGAAGGGCTGGGGCTTCCAGCCAGCCTGCTTTCAAGGAGGGGCTGGAGACTGAGCTTAATCATGTGGCCAACCAATCACGAGGGAGGAATGAAGCCCAGTAAGATCCCTGGATGCTGATGCCCTGTGAAGCCTTGGCAGCGAGCACCAGGCTTCGGGGAGGTGCCTTGTGTGCTAAGGTCCCAGTTACAGCCCTYGTGATAAAACTGGAGCCCTGCGCCTCGGGCCTTCCAGGGCGCCACGTCTTTCATCAAACCATCCAGCTTGACGGGGTTGCGGGGCCCTGCATTTGGAGCCAGACGGACAGAGGTGCAAGTGCCCAGGGACCCCTGGATGTTCAGATGGTGCCTGAGGGGAGGGCAGTCTCGCTAGGGACTGTCCTTAGCTTTTGAGGTCTGGGCCACTCCTGGTGACTGCAGACCACGCGAGGGAGGGACCTCTCTCCTGTGGCTGCTGTCTCAGGCATTTCTGGGGGGACTTGCCCCCTCAAACCTGGCCACATGGAAAGACAGGCCCAGGTGTGGAAAGCCAGCATCCTGGCAGCCCGTGATGCGGGGCCCCGGGTGCAGAGAGGGGCCGGGACACTCACCAGTACAGCTTGGAGTGCTCCACCAACGTGTAGGTGTCCCCGTCGCCGATGAAGGTCCCACATGTGAGGCAGATGAAGCACTCAGGGTGGTACTTCAGCTCCCCAGCCACCTGGCGGAGGGGTGGGGACAACCCAGCTGAGCCACTTGACCCAGCCTCCGGCCCCCTCCGCTCTCTCYACGTGGCCTCTTCTCAGAAGGGCAGCCCTGAACACATGGCGGGGACTCAAGCACAGTGTGGGCCACACAGATAGGGGCTGAGGGACACGGCAGTCAGGCTCAGCAAGCATGAGGGGCTCAGAGAAGCAGCAAGAGGGAAAAAAAGGAGATGATGAGCTGGAGCAGTGACGCTCCAGGCGCAGCGTGCGGCACAGAGGGGCGGGRGGCGTGCGCAGGGTGCTCACCATGACCAGCCCTTTGGTGATGTGCTCCGAGCACCCGTGGCAAGACTCGCCGTAGCGGGCCCAGTAGTCCTTCTTGCAGAAGAGCTGCCCATCCTTCTCGTAGTACTGGTGCGAGAGGGAGGCGCCGCATTCACAACACCTGTGCAGAGAGGGTGGGCTGAGTCACCAGCGCCCGCGCCCTGCTTCCCACACACCTGGGCCTAGCCAGTGGCAGGAGCCTCTGGAAGAATAGCAAAATATGTGTCCTCTGGACAGAAGCAGCCCGTGCTTGACACAGGGCTTGGCAGACATGACACGGTCCCCCTTGAGCTCCTCCTCCACACCTCACACAGTGCACAGCCTGCACAGCCACGCAGTCTTGCACACAGGGCCAGGGCTGGCAGCTGGCTGGAGGGGTAAGGGACACTTCTCATCTAGGCTTTGTCATGCAAAGAGGAGGGTCCACAAGGAAGGTGACTTGTTCTTGGTCGCCARCCAGGTGGAGGACGCGGGGATGGACCAGTGGGCTCCTCCCTGCCCCACCTGGCCCTCAGCGCCGGAGGCTTGCAGAGCACTAGCATCTCGGCTCCTTTGGTTCAACTCCTCTTACCCTTCCAGGCACCATGAGGCAGGGGTGTCACCTCAACTTAGAGAAGAGGCGGAGTGCAGGGGGCCATGCTGCCTGGGGTCCCACAAATCTGCTCCCATCTCACCAAGATCTAGGCAGGGACCTGGCTCATGTARACCAGCTGGGACCTGCCACTCCAGACAAAGGATCTCCTGGCTTCTCAGAGCTCAGTGCCCCACAGGTGCTGCTGGTCAGAAGGGTGCTCGGGCCAGTTCAGTACCTCAGCGCCAGTCTCCCTGCCTTTCCTCAGAAAAGTGGTCACACTGCAGTGGGATGCCCAGGTACACTGTGTGGTCAGGGCCAGAGTCCCCTGCCTGGTCACCAGGACTAGCATGGGAACCCTGAGGGTGGGTGGGTGAGGGGTAGATGGAGAGAAGGGGTGCTCCTGTCTCTGGGTGCTGGCCACCGTGCGGGAGCTAGATCTACACACTTGGCTTCTTCCTGCYCAAGCACCCGGGTTGGGGGGACCAGCGGCCTCGATGAGCCAGCAGCAAGCTCCCCCAGGGACCTGCAGAGCACAGTCCCACTGGCTCCAGGAGAGTGGCGTCCAGACTCCTGCTGTGCATGGGTATGTGTGGCCAGACTGCCCACCCCACAGGGAACAGGCCAGGGGATCCGGCCAGCTCTGCTGCTGGGTCACATATGGACAGGAGGACCCAGGCTCTGCAGGGTAATAATCCAGGAGAGTGGAGGGCTTGGGCCTGGGTGGGACAGTCCTTTCCCCAYGTGGCCAGTGACCTCAGGAGGTGAGCCCTGAGATAGCCAGTGAAACACTGTCCCTTTAAGAGGACCCAGCTAGTTCCCCACTGTCTGGCAGTCTGCAAGGAGGGGTGGGGGAAGCACAAAATGTCAGGGTTCAGAAGCACGTGGGTGGGGATGCTCCCAGAAAGGGGACCTGACGCATTAGCTCTGGGGGTGAYGGCAGAAGGGTGCAGGATAGAAGCCATGACGGAAGGCCACTGCCCACCTCCAGGACCACAACCAGGACACCAGAGGCAGGGGCGGAGCCTGGAGATGGGGGCGGAGCCGCGCCTCCCACGGTCCAACCTAACTAGTGGTCTGTGCAGGGGTGGCAGTTCCTGTCCCCAAGGGAAAGCCCCCGCTGGTCATCTGTGACTCGCTTCCTGCCCTTCCACCGACCACTCCAGACTTTGGTCACAGGACGTCACAGGAGCCTCCCCCGGCTCCCTGGGGCTGGYTGTAGGAAGCAGGGCCTCTCTGTGGGTGGGGACTCTGAGCTGCCCGCCTCCCGAGAGCGAGAGCTGCTCTCCTCCGCCCGCCTGCCTGGAAGCTCCTCTGCTGATGGCCAGTGGCTCGCTCATCACCTTCCCAAGGGCTCTGCGAGTGCACCAGGGCTCCCCTCCCGGGTGGTCCCCAAGCGAGTGCACCAGGCACCAGCAGCCCTCTTGGGCCCACCCCTCCGCCTGCACCGGCTAGTTCCCTGGGGTCCCAGGCTGGGCAGCTGCAAAGCTGTCCAAGAGGACACCAGCCCTTCTGGGGTCYCTATCCCCCAGCATCCAGAGCCCCCTCTGCCCGCTTCCTGGGCCAGACCACGGCTCATGTGCTGGCTCAGCAGCAGTACTCTGCGCCCCRCAGACCTCTGTGGGTGGAAGGTACCGGAGAGCCCAGCCCCTGTCCAGCCCCTTGCCCCTCAGGCCCACATCCAGCCAGGAGCCAGAAAAGGCAGGTGGAGGGGGCACAGGCTACCTGTCCCCACAGGAGACCTCAAGTGTCAAGTGAAGCAGGGCAGGTACTGATGGCTTATGGAGCTGGGGCAGGGCCAGTGAGAGAACTCCTGCAGAGACTTGTGCCTTGGCCCCACTGTGGAGTCCCTTCCCTGACATCGGGGGCAGCGCCAGGCTAGGGCAGGAGAGGAGAGGCAGGGACATGGGAGGTGCCCTGCAGTGAAGAGGCTGGACTGGGAGACAGCAGAAAACTGCAGGGACAGGTATTGAGGGTGTCCCTCCAGGGGATGGACACCAGGGCAGAAGGATGGCTGGAGGCCAGCCTCCTGGGGAGACTGTACCCAAAGGGCCAAAAGCTCTGGGAGCTGCCTGTTCCCCACATGGCGGCCAGCCATGACCAGGGAGTTTCAGTTCTGCCCCACGCTGGCCCAGGTGGGTCTGCCCACGAGTCTGCCCACGAGTCCTGGGTCTGCCAGGAGCCTGGGACAGAACTAGGTGGGAAGGGTCTTTCCACTTACTTAGCCCCTCTGAGGAAGCGGCGTCTTCTCAGGACCGAGGCCAACAGCATCCTTTGGCAGGAGCTCTGGAGGCCTGCGGGAGTGCAGGGCAGCCAGCCCAGAGCTTCCCTATGCTGCTCCAGGGGCTCAGGATTGGAGGCTGCAGAGGGAGGGGCCAGCGTGGCCACACCACATGGGGAGGATACCACAGTGTGGTGTGAAGGTCTTGGTCTGAGACTGCAACAGGAAGCAGCTGAAGTGCCTTCTGCTTAAGCTTTGGTATAGGTGAAGAAGGAGGGTTCTAGGTTTTGACCCCAGGAAGTAGGGTGAAGACGGATGATCTAGGCTCTGACCCCAGGAAGTGGGGGTTAAAGGGGAGGGATCTAGGCTCTGGCCCCAAGCAATGGGGGTGAAGGGGGAGGGATCTATGCTCTGGCCCCAGGCAGTGGGGGTGAAGGGGGAGGGATCTAGGCTCTGACCCCAGACAGTGGGGTGAAGAGGGAGGGATCTAGGCTCTGACCCCAAGCAATGGGGGTGAAGGGGGAGGGATCTAGGCTCTGACCCCAGGAAGCGGGGGTGAAGGGGGAGGGATCTAGGCTCTGAGTCTAGGCAGTGGGGTGAAAAGGGAGGGATCTAGGCTGACCCCAGGCAGTGGGGAAAAGGGGGAGGGATATAGGCCCTGAGTCTAGGCAGTGGGTGAAGAAGGAGGGATCTAGGCTCTGACCTGACCATTCTGCCCTTATTCCTGCACATCTGGAGAAAGGTAGCTTGTATCCTCCTTGGCCTCTGCCTAGACAAAGGTACTGAGGGCTTGCGCCTCTCTGGTGACAGGGACAAGCTCAAAAGCAGCTGCCTCTTCCGGTGCTGCCCCCAAGGGAGCAGAAGTCAACTTCCCATGGACAGTTTGTCCCTGCACAGAAGGTTCCCTGAAGGAGAGTCTGCACCCCAGCCAACCCATGGCCAGATGCACTCACCCCTCCTCACCAGCCAACCTAGCCTCCAGGGAGATCTTGAGCTACAGTAGCCCGAGGGCTCCTGCACTGGAGGCTTCCGCTGGCTGCTGGCTGTGCATAGAAGCAATAGCTGGGCCAAAGGGAAGCCTGGACTACTAGGCCTGCCATACATCTCCTGGGGTGGGCCCATCAGAAGAGACAAAGGGGCAAGCACAGGTGCCACACAGCCCAGTCCTAGTGCCAGGTCTGCAGCAAGCCTCCCGCTGCTCAGAGGATGTGACACTCTTCTCATGTAGCCCTGCTGTCCCACCTGAGAGGACCTGGGACTTCAGTGCACTCAAGGGCACAGACCATGGGGTTCAAATAAGATGCAGGGCCAATGGCCCCTTTGACAGGCTTCCCCCAAAACATCCCCTAGGCATGGCTGACTCCACTCCAGCACACCAGTATCTCGGCTGATGCCCGACGTGCCAAGCACACGGCACCCACCACAGACTTCTGCATGCAGTCCTCTGTGGGTCCCGGGATCCCCATGGCTGCTCCCTTGCTTCCTTTGACGCTCCACCTAAACCACCCAGAGCGCTGTCTCCGCACCACCTGACAGCATCTGTCTAGGGCCTGGCTCACCTACTAAGGCAGGGACCTGTGCTCTGGGAGGGACAGGGCAGGCTCTGCAGCCAGGCCACCCGGGTTGAGTCTGGACTCTGGCCTGCTCCCAGGGAGTCCCTGAGCACACAGCTGAGCTCCGGGCCTGCTCCTCATCTGTCAAGCTGCTTCAACAGACAGCACCCGCTTCACAGGCTGCTGGGGGGCCGGTATAGAGCAGGGGCTCTGTCACCATTGGTGAGTGACTGGCTTGGACCCAGGGGTACCACTTGGAAAGGCACTGCAGAGGGGTCCTGGAAGGTGGGGTATGGCAATCACAGTCACAGAGGAGCTGGCTGGGGGCTGCAGGGCTGTCACAGCTTATTGCCTGAGCAGCTTAGGGGACAGGGGCCCTGGAACAAAGGTCTCAATGTTACTTACGGGATCACAGCACTGTGACACTTCCAGAGGGAAACCTAGCAGGGTCCAGAGCCTTAGGGATCCTGCTCAGAGCTGTTCTGGCTGCCTGTCAGTCATGTGCCTGGGCAAGCAGTGACCCCTGAGCTACTTTCCATCATGGGTGAGGACACACTTGGCCTCACCCCTTCACTTTGGCGGTTGGGAGAAACCCACCACTGGGCCAGGAACGCTTCTACACCGTGGCTCTTTCTGTGGGCCCTCCCCCACTGTGGGACCCTGTGTCCCTCCACATCAGGGACAACCTGAATATGCCTCTCCCCATGGTCCCTGGCTGGGCCTCACACCTCTCCTGGTGATGCAGGGAGATTGCTCCAAAGCCAGGCACCACGTGCCTCGCCTCTCTGCTTCCCTCCTGCGGCACTGGGGCTGCACCTGGCCTCCCTCACATCTCCAGGGCTCCACCTTCCCTCCCATCCCAGGCTCAGGGGCCCCCAAGGTCTTCCCTTGATACCTCTTGGCCCCTGCAAAGCCATTCACATCTCGGCACCGGCTCCGAGGGGCCCATTCCTTCTGGCCTTCCTATCTCCAACTCAGCATGGTCAGGAGCTATCATGAGCATCCTGGGACCACCCACTCCCAGGACACAGGTTAGAAAACCACAGACCTGCCACTCATCAGCCCTCCCCCACCCCACCGGCCATCCCTGCTCCAGCTCTAGGGACTCGGAGGGAGCCGGCACAGGTGCGCTCCAGCTCACGGGAGCAAGGTGCTAGCTCCCGCTAACCCTCCACACAAACGGGGCAGATCTGGTACTTCATGTGGTCAACAGTGAGGGAGGAAAATTAAAGCGTGCTTGATAAAGGGTGGCTAACACCACAAGTCCAGGTGGAGTCTCCCCGATCTGAAATGAGGGAGACCAGCATTGTTTCAGGTTTTGAATTTGTTTGGATTTTGGATACTTGCATATACCTAATGAAGCCTCTTGGGGATAGGACCCAAGTCTAAACACAGCCTTCACTTGTGTTTCCCATCCCCTCATGCAGAGCCTGAAGGTCACCGCACAACGTATAGCGGGCATGTGCTCTGACTCCGACCTGACCTGTGAGGTCAGCCGTGATGGAACTTTCCACTTTCCACACCATGTCAGTGCTCACATTTCTGATTTTGGAGCTTTTTTGATTAAGGACACTCGATCTGTACTTGCAAATATTGTATCTGAACTCTTCTCTACTATCTGTCCTTATCCTAGGTCAGGTGTATGAGCACAGAGCTCTGAACTTTAGTTACAGTTCCTTCCCTGCCAAGTTGCCACCATCTGTCCAGCGGGTCGGCATTCTTCAGCAGCATGTCTGCCCATGCCCCTCCCCAGTGGTCTGCTTGTCCCCTTCAAAGGTCCCAGTCACAGTACTCAGTACCCTTCCCAAATCACTCAACTCGGTCTCCTCAAGCCATCCCTGGACTCAGAGTGTTGCTACCAAAATGGCTGTTCCTGCTCTCGGCACTGCCCCACTCCCCGTGTAGGGCCTCCTTCTGAGACCTGATAGGGAACCCGGGGATACCACCTGCCTCTCTCTTGGCCTTACCACCAGAGTGGACACTGGATGTTCTCTTCACTGGCTGTGTGACTTTAGGCAAGAGAATTAACTTCTCTGTGTCCCAATTTTCTTCTGGCAGAATGGAAACGACACAATGTCTAACAATGTGTAGTACTAAGAACAGCACGTGGTCCTTGCTCAGTGCAAGAAAATGTTAAGATGACTACTTCTTTTTTTGGTGGTACTGGGGATTGAGCTTGGGGCTTTATGAGTGCTAGGAAAGTATTCTACCACTGACCTGCAGCCACAGCCCTTTTTATTTTATTTTGAGATATGGTCTCACTAAATTGCCCAGGCTGGCCTTGAACTTGGGATCCTCCTGCCTCAGCCTCCTGAATAGCTGGGATTAAAGGCCACCTATGCCTATACTAGCCTAGGCTTATTCTTTTTTGAGGGTGGGTGGGGTACCAGAAATTGAACCCAGGGGCGTTTAACCACTGAAACACATCCCCAGCTCTTCTGACTTTTTATTTTGAGACAGGGTATCACCATTTTTGCTTAGGGCCTTGCTAAGTTGTTGAGTCTGACCTTTAACTTTCTATCCTCCTGCCTCAGCCTCCTGAGTCACTGGGATTATAGAGGTACAGGTATGTGTCACCATGTCCTATGACCTATTCTTCAAAATTAAAAGAAACCTAAAATAAGCCCCTGGCCATGATGCTCTGATGTGGCTGCACCTCCCTCCCTTGACAGTGCTTCTCCTGATCTCTCATTTGCAGTTGGTGCCAGATCCCTGCCTGGAGTCCCTCTGCATGATGCTTTTCCACCCAGGATTCGCACATCCTTGGAGACTTCTGCTGTGGCTCCATAGCTAAATCTCAGCAGTCCTCTGCACCTGGCTGCTCAGGATGATGATGATCCTACTGGGTCACTAGGGCACCTTTGGGCTGCCATGTGCTGCTTTGTCCTCTGACACAGCCCTGCCCCCACCGCCCATCTGTCTGGAGGCCAGGGCTGGTCTCACTGGGCTATGCATCTTGACAACCAGCTGGGGCACAGTGACGGTGGCTCAACTCCCCTTAAGGCCTGTCCTGTCCTCTCCCTCCCCTGAAGCAGTGGCAGGACACACTGTCCTCCCCTCCTCCCCCACCCAGGGACCAGCAGGCCTGGTGATACTATCAGCTCTCTGTACCCCACGGGTTCCACACTGTGGATTCAAACAGCGTTGGATTGAAAATCTTCAGGAAAAAAAAAATTGCATCTGTACTGCACATGTAGAGATTTCCTTCTTGTCTTTAATCCTTAAACAACATGGTATAACAATTAATTACACAGCATTTATGCTCTATTAGGTATCAGAAGTCATCTAAAGATGATTTAAAGTATACTGTTGAAGTCAGGCATGGTGGCGCATGCCTGGCTGGAGTTCCAGCTACTTGGGGGGCTGAGGTAGGAGGATCATTTAGGTCCATGAACTAGAGGCGAGCATGGGCAGCACAGCAAGACCCCATCAACAACACACACCAATGCACACATATGCATAGGTTAGACTGCAAATACCCTGCCATTTTATAAAAAGGATTTGTATCTGTGGGGGTCCTGGAACCTACACCCTGTAGATGGGGGGGACACAACTGCACTAGCAGGTCTTCCCACCCTCYCCTTAGGGGTCTGAAATGACAAAACTGGAAGTTCTTTAGGGATCTTCTAGTCAAAACGCTTCATTTTACAGAAGGACACTGAGGCCAAGGACTCACTATGTGGCACCTAGGGACAGCACAGGAAGAGTACCAGGTGTCTGCAGGCCTTGTCCAGGGCAAGAACCCCACCCTACCTGAAGCAGTCTGCGTGCCAGTCAGCGTTCAGGGCCTGGAGGTACTGGCCGTCATAGATCCTCTGGCCGCAGCTCGCACACACGGGCAACTCACTTCCTGCAGGGAGGAAAGGGAGTCAGGAACCATTCTCCAGAGGTGCAGCTTGGCACAGGCCCAGCCTGCCCTGCTGACCTCATGCGAACGTGCACAAATCCCAGGGCACAGCACCCAGGCTAAGCAGTCCTTGTGCCAAGCGAGAAGAGAAAGGACAGTGGTCTGAGTCTTGCTGAGCTACTAAGCCTCTCTGGGTCTTAGCACCTCTATCTGTAAACTGAGGAGGAGGATTGGATGTCCACTGTCCAGCAACAACATTCTTTAACTCAGGTTCTGGCAAGGTAAACCAGGAGAAAGCAGTGGGGTTTGGAAATAAGGTGGAGGGTGACAATCTTGTCCCTTTCCTCCCTTGACAGCCCAGGAAAAATTGCTTAGAGGCCCTTCAAAGGGCAGCAACTGGACAGGACTGGATTGGCGCATCCTACGCTGGGAGGGGACAAGCAGAAAGCCCAGAGGTGCTGGCTCTAACTGAAGCTTAGCCATGCCCTGACTTGACAAGGGGCTGGGGCTGCAGAGCCAGCCACTTGGTATGCTTAGTCATCCCAGGGCCCTGGAGCTAGCAGACCCTATAAGACATCCAGGTTTGCCTCTCCCCATTGTACAGATGGGGAGAACTGAGCTCTGGAGAGGGCAAGGCTTGCCCTATCTTACAATCAGGCTCCAAAGCAATGACTTACTCCTTTTGAGTACCCAGGGACCTAAGGAAKGTGCAATGGTGAGGTGTCCCTGTGCTCCAGGCAGGTGCTCACTGGCCTGGATAAAGACTGGTGGAAACCCCAGGGGAGAATGGAGCTGGCCCATTAGGGCCCAGTTTGCAACTGAATGGATCTATGTGAGGAGTCAGCAAAGGAAACCCAGAGGAGACCCCCGACTCCGTGGGACTGGGATTCTTGGGGGTCTTTGAACCCTAATTGTTGTGCAGCCCTAACCCTTGGGTTCAGCAAAGGGGAAGGGGCTAAAGAGAAGCTAGAAGGCAGTCACTCCCCCAGCCAAGATAATGGTAGGCACCTGGTTTGGTGCAGGGGGAGGGGGAGGGGTCCCGCAGTGGCAGTATACAGCCACCGGTTCTCATGAAGCAAATTCCCTCTCTGCCCGTCCAGCTCCCAATCACAAGTACCGGGGACTGACCACCTGGTCCCCAACTGGACACACTGGGAAACTGAGGCCCAGGGTATTGGCGCCTGGCTCAAGGTCACGGAACCCGGCCGCGCGGGGTGGCGACTGGAACCCAGGGCTGCGGCTCCTCCAGCCGCTCTTTATTCCCTAGGCCGGGTTCCACTCCGGATAAGCGGTGGCTCGGGGTGAACGGAGCACGCGGACGGAGGCCGGCGCCGGGTGGGCAGGGCCGGGATGGCGGGCCGCCGGGAAGGGGCACCGCCGGGATGAAAGGGAGGAGGGGTGCTCCGCCAGCGCTGGCGGGAGGGCAGCCCACCCGGGCGAGCGGGGAAGCGGGTGGGAGGCGGCAGGGAGGGGCCTGCGGGCTGGGGAAGGGCGAGCTCATCCCCGGGAGGCAGGGGCGCGGCCTCGCGGCAGACCCGGCCCCCGCGGCGGCCCGGCCGCCCCCTCCCGCGCCCGCGGCTCCGCTAGCGGCCAGGCCCGCGCCCGCCCGCGCCCGCGCCCCGCGCACCTTCCTCTCCCATACGTTCTTCCCTCCAGGTGCAACAAAGTAGCGTCAACCTCATGCACTCGGCGGGGGGCGGGGCCGGCGGGCCGGGACGGGGCGGCCGGGCCGCGAGCTCGCCCGCCGCCGGCCCGGGGAGGCGGAGGCGGGGAGCGCGGGCCGGGCCTGGAGCTCGGGGCTAGCGGCGCCGCCGCCGCCTCTCGGACACCGGTTGGAGCACCGGCTCCGCGCAGCGGCGGCCGGCGGAGCGCGCGGAGGGGCGGGGCGGGGCGGGGCGTGCGGGCTGCGGCAGGRCGGGGCGCGCGCGGCGGCTGGATATGCCCTGCGCGGCCCCGCCCCCAAGCTGGTCCCGCCCCGCTCCGGCCCCGCCCCCTGCGGCCGCAGCCTGCGCGCCCCGCCCCGCCGCCGCGCCCCGCCCGCCCGGCCGCCTCCGCCGTTCTTCCTTTCATTCATCTTTCCCCAGGAGGGCGACAGCTCGCTGCTGGGCGCGGCTAGCTGTGCAGCGCGCTCTAGTGCGGTGACCAGGGACGTGTAGACGCCTCCGTTTCGCCACTGGGAGCCCTTCTGACCCAAGCCACCTGGAGGCCAGGCCGAAGGTGATGGAGGCCTAGTGACCTTGAGGACTCCGAGGTCACCTTGGGGAGGGGCGCCAGCTGGGTCCTCTCCCTCTCCCCTGAGCCCTGCAGTGGGGGCAGGCGGGGGGGGGGGAAGGCGAAGACTCACGACTGTCCCAGGCGTCCCAGGGTGCGAACGCGCAGGATCTGGGAAAAGAACGCCTCTCTGCCAGGCTCACTGTCGTCCTTTCCCAGGGCTGGGGGTGTTGGGCACCGAGTCAGGTCAGGTCAGGGCCGGGCCACCGCCCAACAATGGCCGTCGCCCCTAGGGCTCTAGGCTTTGGGGTACTTCTTCCTGATTAGGAGGAAGAGCCCACCAAAGGACAGTCCCCGGCCCAGGAGCCCAATAGGGGACTGACAATTGTGACCTCGCACATTTCCCTTAGGGGCTATGGAAGTCCCTAGAACATACCGCTGCTGCTGCAGACTCCTCCGCCTCTCCTGTAGCCTGCACTGAGTAAGCCCATCTCTGAACTATCCGGTGTGCTCCCTCACTTTCATATTTTGAGCAGTGGGGGTCTTCAGAGGTCTTTCATTGGTGCCGTGACTAGGATTGGGATTCCCTCACCTTCACTAGGTGAGGACCCCAATCTGGATTCACCCCCCACTCCACCCAGGTCATCCCCAGTCCATTTCCTTGGTCGCTGGACCCATATCCAACATCGGTCATCCATTGGTAAGTTTTCCCCTTCTCCGTTGCTCACCAGCAGGTGTACCCTCAGGGGAAACTGACCATTGATCATCTCTTGGCTCCTCTGACCACCTGTGGGAGGAGAATTCACTCTGCCTAGGCCTTTATGGTCACAGAGACCCTGGAGCAATCCTCCGGATTCTACTAGTATGGGTTAGGATCTCCCCTTATGCCCCGGCCCAGGTCTGACTTTCCCATAAACTCTGATATTGGGTGACCTGCGGTCCCTCGGCTCCTTGGAGTCCAATCAGTATTCTGATCTGGTGACGACCACATCAAAAACTGATTTCTCTCTCCAGGCAATTGTTCCTTAAGGGACACCTTGTTTGAATCATCTGCCTGTCATGGGGAATTTCAGCTCCCTGCCGGTCGACTCCCCCAGTTAGGTGTCTATTGAATAATGGGTCCACTCCTAGCCTATTAAACCTAAGTGCCTTATCAAATATTGCATACAAGATTACCCAAAGTACCAACTAGATAACCAAAATAAACCACACCACCTTCTTCCCACCATTAAGCCATGCAAGGATCTCTCCTCCTGTCCTTCCAACTTTGACCCTGCAGATGAGCCACCTTCTTACCGGCAGGCCCCCCAACCCCTGCCTCTGCCTTGCTTCCCAACCATGCCCAATCCTCCTACCCCACAGCCCTCAGCTCCCCTGGCATCACCCCCAGAGCTTCCCAGCCCCCTTTTAGTCCCCCTACAACCTGTTCTAAAATTCACCTTTCTTCGTGTACTATCGCCACCCCCCCCCAGAAGTGGCGGGTGCTGAAGGCATTGTGAGGGCTCATGTTCCCTTCTCTATGGCAGATCTCCCAAATTGAGAAGTGCCTGGGCTCATACACTTCCAACCCCTCCTCATACATTGAGGAATTTGAATACCTTCTTCAGGCTTTAACCTCACTTTTCACGACATTTCCACCATCCTGGCCAATACTCTTCTCCCAGAGGAGCACAGACGGGTCTGGGGGAAGCCCGTAATTAAGCTGATGAGGTTCATCAAACCACCCAGGCTCACCTGCTAGGTGCTCAGGCAGTCCCTGACCAGGACCCTAATTGGGACTACAATACTGCTGCAGGATTAGCCCTGAGGGACCAATTTTCCTCCTGCCTAGTTGCTGGACTCAGACGGGCAACTCAGAAGGTAGTTAACTTTGAAAAGCTCCAAGAGATCATTCAAGATAAAAATGAGAACCCCTCCACTTTCTTAGGTAGGCTGGCTAAGGCCCTCCAACAATATGCTAATTTAGACCCCGAAACCCCTGATGGGAGACAGCTCCTAACGACCCATTTCTTCCCCCAAAGCTACCCCGACATAAAGGCCAAACTAAAGAGGTTGGAAAGGGGGCCTCTCACCCCTGGCCTTCAAGGTCTGCCATAATAGGGAGGAAAAGGCCAAACCCCACAAATCCCAGATGCTGGCTCAGGCCATTCGGGCGTCTTCCCCCCAACTTCATCCTCTAAAGGACCTCCATGCAGCCCACCAGGGCCATGCTTCAAATGTGGAAGGGATGGCCACTGGGCCAGGGCTTGCCCTAACCCAAGGGTTCCTACCAAACCCTGCCCAAAGTTCCAATGTCCTGGATGGCCATCACCACACAAGAGCCCAGGGTCACACTTACCATAGACGGATGCCCCATTTCATTCCTCCTAGACACTGGAGCCTCATTCTCTGTTCTGATGGAGTTTGGGTGGCCCCACCTCTGTTGTTGGTAGGGGGCCAAACCCTCATGCCTAGGATCACTGCCCTAATCTCCTGCTCATTCCTCAGAGTCATATTCTCCCACCAATTCTTGGTTATGGCCCAATGCCCAGTTCCCCTGCTAGGGCGAGACATCCTCTCCAAATTTGAGACATCTATCACCCTCAATCTGGACAAGTCAGTCTCCTACATTCTCTCTCATGTCGCCTCCAACAGAGGAACTCCCCTCCTTCCCTTTCCCCCAGACAAAGTCAACCCCAAGGTATGGACACCACAACCCCATCACTTGCACACTGCTCCCCCGTTGTCATTACTTTAAAACATCCAGATGCCTATCCATGTCAACCCCAATACCCGCTTCCCTCTGCCAGCCTGATAGGCCTACAGCCCATCATTCAAGATCTCTTAACCAAGGGCTTCCTCAGACCTGCCCACTCGCCTTTCAACACTCCCATCCTGGCAGTTAAAAAACCTAACAGCACCTTTCGTTTAGTTCAAGATCTCCGGCTGATCAATGAGGCTGTCCAACCCATATACTCCTTGGTTCCAAACCCATATACCATCCTGTCCTCTATACCTCCTTCCTCAACTCACTTCTCAGTGATAGATATCAACTCACTTCTCTATTCCCTTGGCCCTACATCCCAGGACCTCTTTGCTTTCACCTGGACAGATCCTGAGTCACGCCGGTCTCGTAAACTGACCTGGATGGACTTAACCCAGGGCTTCTGGGACAGCCCCCGTATATTTTGGCCACTGATCTAGATGACCTGTCCCTCTCACAATCCTGATTACTGCAATATGTAGATGACCTACTCCTCTGCAGTCCCTCCTGGAATAATCACAGAATGACACCTCACTTCTCAATTTCCTAGCTGAAAGGGGCTACCGGGTCTCTCCTGCTAAAGTCCAACTTTCAAAGGTCCAGGTTACCGCTCCAAGGCTACCACCAACAACCACAAGGCTTATATCAAGCAATTACAGACTCCCAGCACCACAGAGGAAACCTCTTCATTCCTGGGGCTGGCAGGATACTTTAGAGTGTGGATTCCCAACTTTTCTCTCCTAGCGAAACCCCTATATGACCTTGTCAAGTCTTTCCCCTCCCTGGTCCCTACAGGAGACCTCGTCCAGCCTTTCCAAAAACTCCAGCAAGTTTTTGCAAGCCCCAGCGCTGCGACTGCCTGAGCTTCAAAGACCATTCCTTCTGTTCTGCCATGAGAACCGGGGTCTAGCCCTGGGGGTGTTGGGTCAAATGTAGGCCCCTGGTTTGCCCCTGTGACTTATCTGTCTAAACAGATCCTACTGTGTGGGGGTGGGCGCCATGTCTCCACGTCCTGGCAGCGGCCTATATCTTGCTCCTGGAAGCTACAAAGTTAACCTCTGGAGCACCTGTAAGGATTGCCAGTCCCCATCATCTCAAAGAACTCCTAACATACAAGGGACTCCAGACTCTCCTGCCTTGCCGCATCCTTCCTCTCTTGGTGACTTTCATACAGGACACCTCTACCTCCTTCCAGGCTTGCGYGCCTTTAAACCTTGCCTCCTTGCTCCCCATTTCAGCTACCCCTCCCTTACACGACTGCGGACAGGTCTTGGAACAGATCCTTCATGCCCTACTCATCTCTCTGAGGGCCCCCTCGAGAACTCTACCCACACCTGGTTCTCAGATGGCGGTTCCTTCCTTGTGGATGGACGCCAACTGGCCAGATATGCAATAGTATCCTTAGACCGAACCATAGAGGTCAAACCCCTTCCCCCAAATACCACCAACCAGCAGGCGGAATCAATCACGGTCACCCGCGCCTTTCAGCTGGCTGCAGATGCATCCTGACCCTATACACTGATTCCAAGTACATTTTCCATAACCTCCTATCACATGCAGCCACATGGAAGGAAAGGGGACTCCTCACCACCAAAGGGTCTTCAATAGTCAATTCATAATTGATCTCTCAGTTCCTAGAGGCATTCTTGCTCCCTACCAAGATTGGCATCGTCCACTGCCGGTCACACCAGTCTGATGCCAGCTTCATGACCATGGGAAATAATCGAGCAGATGCAGCGGCCAGGCAA